AAGGTAGGTAGCAGATTATACTTTGAAAAACTGCTAGAGGAGATTGGGAACTTCTGAAACAATGGGAAAAGCAGAAGTGGTCTAGCTATTGGTGGAATGGCCTGAACTTAGGAAAGATAAGGTTGGAGGAAGAGAAACCATGGATGTCACTGAGAAGAAGCAGACACAGATGAAAGCTTTAAACATAATGCCTGGCACACAGTTGGTGTTTAATATATTATAATTGAAGCTAAATTTCTGCAGTGTCATTACCATCTATAGTCAGTCATGGAAACACAAATAAATGAAGAAATTTACTACAATCTGAATTTGACCACCGATTGAGGTTGAGGTTTTTAAAGGATGGGGATCTAGGCAAATTTCCCACTTCTCAGGCCAGGCCTTACCATAACATTACAGAGTTCACCCTACCTGGCCATTCCTCTTCTCAATAATCTTAGGTCCAAATCCCATCTGTGAGTCATTTTATGTGGATCAGGAGCATGTAGACCGTTTATAGGATGTTTCCTAAAGCGTTTTTGATTCTAAGCCCTGCAACCCTGCAAGTCCTGATAAGGACTAGAGCTGAGACAGACTTAGATAAATTTAGCAAGAAGTTGCCAACTCTACATTGCTTTTCCAGACTGGAGAGAACCTCTTGTTTTCCCAGCCCTGATATAGACAGAATGAAGAGCATAAAGAGACTTGTGGCAGGAGCAGGAGGCTGGAGACAGGAGCATGTACCTTCCTCAGAATTTGGCCTGCAACAGATTCTGTCCTGATGTAGAATTGCCCCCATCCTAGTTGAATCCATTGTCAATCAGGGCTTTCATTGTTTTTCTTTGGTAGATTCTCCTACTCAGCACAAATATGTAGATATTTCTGTAGTCTGAGAATGCAGAATGTTTTATTTCTAATGTCCAGTTGAAATATTTCAGAAAACATTTTAGTTGAAAGGAGAAACCAGATTGCCACGTACTGCTAGAAAAATGTTTGCCTTAAATCTTGGTCCTGGGTCCTCTCTACTTTTAAGTGTGTGGTATTTTGGTATAGTAGAGAGAGCACTGGACAGAAGTGAGGTCATATTCCCTGAGTCCTAACCCTCACTCTCTTATTAACTAGAAATGTGAACTTGAGCAAGTCACTCCTCTTTTCAGGGTCTGTGATAGATTATGTTCTCTGAGAAACAGATTCTGAGACTATGACCTCATGCAGGAGGTTAATGGGGTATATTCTCAGGAACAATAATACCTATGAGGAGTGAGAGATGCAAGATCAGACAGGGAGAATTTGAGCTACAATGCAGCTAGCCCTTTATGTTTGTCCACTTTGAGGCAAACGGGACAGCTTTTATTTCTATCCTCTCCCCCACTGCATCAACCATTAAATGTGAGCTGTCCCCTAGTACAGGGTGTGACTTGGGGAAAGGCATCTCTCTTCTAAGGAGAGCAATTCTTAGAGAGGGATCCAGCTGCTAACATTCACAGCAATTTCAGTTCTGAAGGTAGGACCTGGACAGCACACTACAGCATCCACTACAGTTCCTTAGTTTCAGCCTCCATAATGTAATTTAGTTAAGCCGGGTAATGTCTGTATCCGATTATCTATTGCCACAATGTAGAAGAGACCCAGAAACATCAGTGGCATGTAACAACAAACATTCATTTAGTGACAAGTCAGTAGAGTTCAGCTGGGCTGGGTTGCTTAGGTTTGCTTATGCATCTGCACTCAGCTATGGGTTGGCAAGGTGGTTCTGTGGCTGTTGGCTGGGCTTGTACACATGTTGGGGGTCAACAGGCTGTCAGCTGATCTGGGATAGCCTTGGCTGGGATGAGAACTGGGTAATTTGGCTTGATTTATCCTCTAGTAGGCTAGTGTGGATATGTTCTCATGGTATTGATAGAGGCAAGAGCAATCTCAAATGTGTAGCCCATTTCTAAGCCTCTGCTTGTGTCACTTGTGCTGATATTCCATTGGCCAAAGCAAGTGGTGTAGATGAGCTCAAAATCAAGAGACAAGACAGTTCAACACATTCACCATAACAGGGATCTTTAGTTACTGGGAAAAGGGAATAGGTATAGGTAGAGGTGGGGCCATTTTAAAAAACTACTGTAAACTCTAACTTCCTTCCATCTGAGCCATTCAATTGTTTTTGTGACTTCATATGTAAGGTAGATGCTAATGTTTTAATTTTGGTTCTTGGAACTTGATGATCTCTGAATCTAGCACCCAACACAGAACTGACTCAGGACACTGGTGATAAATATTTTGTTAAATAAACAAAAGCAAAATTGTATGTATGTTGGGAATTAAATATTGTAATTCCTAGGTGCAAGATAAAATCTGGTTTGTAAAGACTTGGAATAAGAACATTAATTATTAAGCACATTTAAAAAAATTTTTATGGGTTTCTTTATTATTATTATTATTCACAAAGGAAAATATGCTTCTTGTTAAAACTTGAATAATATAGACAGGCAGAGTAAACAGTGAAAGTTTCCACCTCACCACTCCCCACTCCCATCTCACTCCCTAGAGGCAACCATTGTTATCAGCTGTGTGTCCTTCTGGACCTTTTCCTTTGTGGATTCCCATATGGATGTATTTTCTTTTGCTTTATTTCCTTTTAAACAAGAATAAAGTCATACTATATGAGATATCTTCAAAATGTTTATGGAAATATTTGTATTATCTTTTAATTCTATCTTTCCACAAACTTTTTGAAGTACCCTCATACATGTTATTCCATAACTTGTTTTTTATACTCAAGAAGATATACTAAAAAAATGCAACAACGTGACTCTAACAATTCTTTTAATTTATATTTTGTTAATGACAACAAAAATGTACATATGAAAATAGTTCATGTGTATAAGGCATATTTATTTCTCATCTGCAGACAGTCCTTGGTTGTCCTCCAGACTCTCAGTTCCATGCCTTTGAACCACCTCCTTGAACCACTATTATGACTTTGCAGAGGAAAAGAGATACCTTCTTTCCCCTCTCATTTTGATTTGCTTTGGAGAAATCAAGCTTCCTGTTTATATACCTTCACTTCCAACAGTCCTATCAAATAAATCAAAGTAATAGTTAAATTGTAATTGCCCCCTTTTCTTATTAAAAAGATTCCAACAATCCTATCAAATAAATCAAAGTAATAGTTAAATTGTAATTGCCCCCTTTTCTTATTAAAAAGAATAATAGTCTATGGTACTCAAGCTATAAAACTCTGTATATGCAAAATTATGGTGGTGATGCTGACTGTAACTGATAAACTCTTTGCTAATATCATATCATCACATATTTGCTAATGTTATTTTTCACATTTATCTTTAACATAGGGGGTTATTTTGAAGATAAAAAATTTAGAAACACTGTGACCTGTACAGGAAGGAAGAAATGAATAAAGCTGTCCTATCCTTGGAAATGATAAAATGCTACCCAGACATATGAGTTGCCATGTCAAGCCTCAGTTACCTTAATTTTCATGTTTCCCACTAACCCAGTAACACATTCAGTAGCCATTCTGAGTTGTAATAATTTATTTTGGGGTTTGATGATTGAAAAGATATGTCATTGGTGATAACTTCCATAAATTCAGTCACACTTTGCTTGAAATTGTATTCACTTACAAAATTTGCATTATGAATTGATAGCTTGACTTCTTTGGGGGCCAAAACGAACCTGTGACTAGTTTTGAATATAGACTTTTTATTTTTCTCTATAGCTATGGCATGTTTACTTAGTCAAAAGTTAATTCTATACTGCAAGGGAGGAACCCACACAGACTTTAGACTCAGAATTTTGTTTAATGGAAATAAAGCTTAACAGAAGTATGTGGGTCTGGTTCCCTGGTGGGTTAGGGTGAAGACTCATTCCCNATACCTTCTTTCCCCTCTCATTTTGATTTGCTTTGGAGAAATCAAGCTTCCTGTTTATATACTTCCAACAATCCTATCAAATAAATCAAAGTAATAGTTAAATTGTAATTGCCCCCTTTTCTTATTAAAAAGAATAATAGTCTATGGTACTCAAGCTATAAAACTCTGTATATGCAAAATTATGGTGGTGATGCTGACTGTAACTGATAAACTCTTTGCTAATATCATATCATCACATATTTGCTAATGTTATTTTTCACATTTATCTTTAACATAGGGGGTTATTTTGAAGATAAAAAATTTAGAAACACTGTGACCTGTACAGGAAGGAAGAAATGAATAAAGCTGTCCTATCCTTGGAAATGATAAAATGCTACCCAGACATATGAGTTGCCATGTCAAGCCTCAGTTACCTTAATTTTCATGTTTCCCACTAACCCAGTAACACATTCAGTAGCCATTCTGAGTTGTAATAATTTATTTTGGGGTTTGATGATTGAAAAGATATGTCATTGGTGATAACTTCCATAAATTCAGTCACACTTTGCTTGAAATTGTATTCACTTACAAAATTTGCATTATGAATTGATAGCTTGACTTCTTTGGGGGCCAAAACGAACCTGTGACTAGTTTTGAATATAGACTTTTTATTTTTCTCTATAGCTATGGCATGTTTACTTAGTCAAAAGTTAATTCTATACTGCAAGGGAGGAACCCACACAGACTTTAGACTCAGAATTTTGTTTAATGGAAATAAAGCTTAACAGAAGTATGTGGGTCTGGTTCCCTGGTGGGTTAGGGTGAAGACTCATTCCCAGGGTGAGCCGGGAGTCTTCTTCCAGGGGTGACTCACCAGCCTCATTCTCACTTTGCTCCTTCTGATTTAGAATGGGGTGAGCAGAGATGCAGCCTTGATCATCTTTAGGAGAGTGACTTTTAAGACTAGTTTTTTTGTTTGTTTCTATATTTACTAATTCACTCTGAAACCCTTCATTCAAACACAGTGTGAGTTGAATATATAAAACTAATGAAGGCCGGTGTAATTATAGAAGGGTGGAAGCCCAGAGCCTCCACCCATTCACTTCCCACAGATTCTGTCTTACCACACCCATATTTTATTCCCATTTCATTTGCCTTAAGATAATGAGAAACCCATGCGAGTGGTGGATGATGAAGACTTGGTAGACCAGCATCTCATCAGTGAGCTGAGGAAAGAGTATGGAATGACCTACAATGACTTCTTCATGGTGCTAACGGACGTGGATCTGAGAGTCAAGGTACAGGTTCTTGTTTTGGATGATGCAATGCCATTCCTCAGAATAGCAACTCTGATTTTATTATTATTATTTTTTTTGTCAAGAATCCATTACACATTACAATAATTTGAAAGTACAAATTATTTCATAAATGGCAAGGTTTTGAAATGACCCAAATGTTCCATGTTGTCCTATGAATTTGTGTCTAGAAATGTGGCTCCAGAGAAGATTGGGTTGGACTGACCCCTGTGGCCCACTACTTGACTCAAATTAAATTCTTTTGTGATGTCAGTATCATGCATTCATCAGACACGTGCTGTATAACTACAATGTGCAATGCCCTGGGGATAAAAGGTGAAGGGTGTGGTGTTTGTCTTCAAGAAACCCATGTTTAACACAGGCCTATTTTGGAAGGGCCTGGAAATTTACCTCCTGATCCAACATGAACAAGGCTGTAGGGTTTTAAACTTCTTTTTTATGCTTAGAGACAAAAGTCCTAAACCATGAAAAACCATGCCATGTAGTCATAATAATAATAATAATAACAAAAATAGCTAACTTTATTGAGTGCTTTCCTTATGCCAGGCACTCTGCTCAATCATTTGCAATTCTTATCTAAAACGCTGAAGATAAATACCAGTATTATTTTTATTTCACAAAGGAAAAAAAACAGAGGCCCAAAATGGTTAAGGTAACTAGCCCAAGTTCACCCAGTTAGTGACTTTAGTCTTTATTACCACACAGGCTGGCTCTAGAGCCCCCTGTCTTAACCGTTCTAGTACATTGATAGTATACCATACTTAAGTGAAAATCTTTAGGATAAAAGGCTGTATGGATTATCAGAGCTGATGGCTCAACTTGTAGTATTTTTATGGATCTGTAGAGAGATTGCTTCATTAATTCATTCCTCACATGTGTTGCCCTGTCTCTAATGAGAGAGGTTAGACTAGATAATCTCTCAGGTCCCTGCCAGCTCTGACATTCTGTGATTTACTGAATTCCCAATGGGGACACAGCTCCAAGCCATGTGCAGATTGTTGTCCACTTATGCTGGTTATGCTCAAGCCGGCCTCCAAATCCATCTCAGGTTGCTGTTGTAAGTTCAGACAGCTGTGATCCAAGAAACTGGATTTCATTGTCTTTCAGTTGGATCCCAACTTGTTAATGGGAACACATAAACAAACATAACCTAATTTTAAAATAAAACAATCCCTAGGACCACAGAACAGGCCTTGGTGGAAAGTTACTCTTATGTGACCCGGCAATAAGTTTCCTGTGTTAGGTAGAGTGTTTCTCACTTCTTCAGTTGTGTAGTGAACACTAACCCACTTAGTCCCAGAGTCAGAGAAGTGAATCTAGGATGTGTATGGAGAGGAAGACACAAACACTTTTCAATAAAAGGAGAGCAGTTAAGAATTACTTATAAAGTGGCAGTTGTTTCATGTAATCGGAACCCCAAAACATCAGAAGAGGTACTATTGCAGGAGAGTGTTTATAAATCAAAGAGCCCTCCAGGCTCTGATTGTGAAAATTTCCCCAGAGCTTCCCTGAATTCTCCCAGGTTCTCTATCTTCTGAACAGAGGGAAGAAATGCACTTACACATTATATGCATTCTATTCTTTTTCAAACAGCAATACTATGAGGTGCCTATAGCAATGAAGTCTGTGTTCGATCTGATTGATACGTTCCAGTCCCGGATCAAAGATATGGAGAAGCAGAAGAAGGAGGGCATTGTTTGCAAGGAGGACAAGAAGCAGTCCCTGGAGAACTTTCTCTCCAGGTATATCGACTTTAGAATTCCTGAAGAGTCAGGCGCAAATTTATTCTGAGTGAGCTAATGCAAGTGTCAAAGAGCTGTGCATGTGTTTGTACAGTAATCCTCCCTGGAGAGAGGTCTATCTGACTCACAGCTCTCCAGCCACTGGGCTTAGGCTTGTCTTGTTGGTCGTGGCTCTGGTTTGCGAGGCTGGCTGGTTTCAGCTCCATGCTTGAATGTCAATTTGGTGACTTTGGATAGATCTTTTCTTTATTTCCTCCTCCTTTTTTTTTTTTTTTTTTGGTACAGAATATAGAATTTTGATCTTCATCGAGGGTTAATTTATTTGGTCAGTGAATTTGGAGATATCTGTACATAGCCCTCTGTTACAAAGCATTTTTTATTTTACATATATATTTCTTAGGTCCTTTCTAGTTTCAAACAGGATTTGACACACTCTGTTTGATTCTCTGCTTCCTTCCACCTCTGCAGAAAACAACAAAAGCCTCACTAAGACCTCAAAGGGAGAAATGCTCTTGACCCAGCTCCCTGATTCCCCAGGGAGTGTTGTCTTCTAAAAACCATCTTACCCCAGTGCCAGTGGGGAAGGAGCATACCCAAAGAAGAGTGTTAAAAAAAGAAATCCACTTTCCTCCATTCTCCAACCTTTCCCTGATGTTGGATGAAAGTTCTATAGGGACTTTGGGACCCAAGGAGGTAAAAAGCTGTGGAAATGCACCCACGACAAATAACCTCACAGAGACCTCAGTATTAACACCACTCTAACTGTACTGCATGTCTGAGGAGCTACAGAAATGAAGCAAGCATTTGCTTGAAGGCTCAGCATTAAATGTGTATCACTTTAAGCAGACTGGCCACGCACCGGCCACCCCTATACAGGATCCGAACCCTCGGTGGGAGCACTGCTGTGCTCCCAGTGTCGCACTCTCCCGAGTGCGCCACGGGCTCGGCCCAGAATCTTAAACTTAAATCTCAACTTGGCCTTTAGGCCACCATTGGCCAAGAAAGTCCTCTGGACTTCCCTGTGCAGATGGCTCTTTGCCCAGTCCTAGGGCCACTAAAACACCAGCTGCTAATCCAAGTTCATCCATCTAGATAGCAATAACTTAGAAGACTGATTATAAGAGCTTTTTGCTGCCCTTGAGATGTTTTTCTTTTTCTTTCTTTCTTTTTTTTTTTTCTTTTTATTTTTAGGCAGAAAAGATTCTTTAGAAGTTTACTTTTGATTTTAACAATTAGTTTTAAATATATTTGTTATAAATTCAAGACCTCAGTTCTCAAACTTTCAAGTTAGACTCATAAAGCTTATTTTTCTATTTATAACATAGCAAATTTTGACTATCACTTTTAAGGGGGCTTTGAATAATATTTGATCTTGCTTACAAACTCAGTAATTAAACAACTTCATCATTTCACATAGCCATTACACATTTAATATATTTTTTTGATTATTTGAAATAAACAACACCTTTCTAAGTATGTAAATGATACATAAGTTTAATAAGTTAATCTTATAAATACAGTGAATCTAAAGTTCTCTCAGATGTTCCAATAACTGCATACACTTATATTTTGACTTAGACCACACCCATTACTCAACCGCCCATTCTAATTTGGAGTTTAAGGTTGTCATTTTATTAGGCCAAATTCTCTCAGGTTTCACAAGAACATAAGCTATAATATGATGATACTTCAAAAAGTTCGTGGAAAAATTGAATTAAAAGATAATACAAATCCTTCCATGAACTTTTTGAAGACCCTTGTATAAAAAAACCCAGAATCCTTCTGAAACCTATATGTTATTACTATGGTCAATTCTTTAAAAACTTTTTCTTCTTAATTTTAAGTCTTCTTAATTCTAAGGCTAAAAGATGCATACCTACTGAGCCATCCCAGTAAACTCAAACTGCCCACCCTTAAAAGCAGAGGGTTATTATCTAGTTCACTGATGTCACTTAAAACCAGAGATTTGGGCCACTAGTGAGATCTGCAGCTACAGACATCCTGAGGAATTCTTCTCAACATCCCCAACCAGAGTGTCCTTTTATAATTACTATGTCATGGCTGCAAAATTTGAAAGGGAAAGCTGACATTATCTCAATTTTATTCACTCTAGAAAGCTTGCAACACTTATACAGGTTGACCACTGATTTGAATTTGTAATTTATTTGATTCTTGAGATATGTACAAATATTTTGCACCTAAAGTCTTTTCAACTAGATAGGGTCCTAAGAAATGTAAATGTATTTTCCATCTAATGTAAGAGTTTTATAGGCTCTTACACTCACTACTACTCAGGAACATAAATCTCATATGGATATTCAGAGTGGTATATAATTATAATTACAATGTGGATGTCGTATGGCTATGTCTGACTGTGATCACAACTCATAAAAGCATTCTGCTGATAATTATCAACGATCTTAAAACTTAAAAGGAAGTAGTGCATTATTTAAAGACATGAGCAACATAGCCCTGAGTTTGATTCCAGGTTTCTCCACTGATTGTGTGACTTTGGGCTAATTATTTAAACATTCTGGGCTTAAGTATTCTCATTAGCAAAATGGGAATAGTAAGTGTATCTATTTTTTAAAGATGGTTGTGAAGAGTAAATTCAATATTAAAGGTAGTGATGGCCCAAGACCTAATGCAAAGTAAGTAAGAAATCAATAAATGCTAGCTATTAGTAGTATTAGGGTCAGTTATTCAGGTTCTGTTAGAGAACTTTGTCATCAAGGGAGACATATGAAAAAGAGATTTAGTTAGCACTCCAGAACTGAAACCCAGGCAAAGAGGAATTTAAAAAAATAAAGAAAAGTTATTTGAATAAACCAATATCCAAACAGGAATTTTTTCAAATTTGCTGAGTTATTGGTGGGTTAGTACAGCTTGGTTTCAGCTGACCAGACCCTGACACCAATCTAGTCTTCAGTGACACTCATTTGGTTCAGGCTATAATTACCTTTCCCTGAGACAGAAGCCCCAAAGAGTAGGCAAATGCACACTAATTTGGGAACACCAGTTAAAAGTAGCAAATGCATACATAGCTGGTAGAATTTCTTTACTGAGAAGCTGAAGTGACAGAAAAATACCAAAATAAGGGTCTGGGTCAGGTTCATAATTCTTTTTACATCCTTTGGAAGTTATTTCCTTCCATGTTGTGAGCTGAGGCCCTGTATCTTCATGTGAAGGTCTGTGGGAAGATGAATCACTACTTATGGGAAATAACCCTCTCTCGGTTGTGTCTGGGACAGGGAGTCTCAGATCCCACCCTCTCTAAGCAGGACTGCATTCAGTGGTGCACACGGGTAAACAAGCCAAAATAGAACTCACCCAGAATAGCTCCCTCCAGGACACCCTCCAGCTCCACGTGGGGCCAGGAAGGCTGGCCTGGTTTGGATCCTGGATGGGGGTCCAGCACTGGTCTGGCATGCCTCCTGTGGAAGCATGGGAAGGACAGGAAACCGTGTTTGTGATCTGACAGCAGTCACTGTTCCCTTTCCCAGGAAACCTCAGGCAGTCTCAGGCGCTCCTCTCCTCTCCAACACATTCATCTTCCTATCCTCAGTGGAGATTTTAGTTTTCCTTTCCCTTTGAAGCAAAACAAGCAGAGGAAGCAAATGTAATGTCACAGCAAGCAATTCTTGGCGAGCCTTGCAACAGGCGTCCATTCAGAGGTTGTATTTCATCAGACTATCATTTTCTCTCATTCACCCAAACCACTATTCCCCTGCGAGGCCATTTTCTTCAGGGTTGAAAATTCTCATGTTCACTCTGAGGCTAGAAGGGGCACAGGGAGAGAAGCCATGAATAAAATTAACTGACTGCCAGCTCAGCGAGTGCACTAACACTTTGTGGTCTTCTGCACTGAAGACAGAAAGTAAAACTCCTTCTCTAATGAAGGTGGACTGTGAGACAACTGCATATAGTTGCCCCTTGGATGCACGCCCTCTCTCCTTCACCCCCTCTTGGGGACCCTGACAGCACCAGCCAAGCATCAGCATGTCTGAGGGTGGCAGATGAGGGAAGCCACCAGACCAGGCAGGAGTTAGAGAAGTCTGTTTTGGTATCATCTCTTAGACCTACTACATGGGCAAGTTATTCACTTCTCTAAGCCTCATTTTGTCATCTGCAAAATGGGGAAAATAAGCTGTGCCCTCACTGAGCTCTAATGAGGGGCACATTGTGTAGGTGAAGGTGAGCTATAAAATGATACACAAACCTAAGGATTAAATAGGTTTTTATATGGCATGGTGATGGATAATGTCCAAGGTCTGCTAACGGACAAAATTCTACATATCTAGAAGCCTGCAGATTAAGACACAATCTTCTAATGTCCGTGTCATCACATTGGTAGGCTTTAGAGTTTACTGCTTGTAACACCCCTTTGAAGAAGATGCTATTTTTGATTCTAGAGATAAGGAAAAACTGAGAGTTAGGTGAATGGAGTTACTTACTAAAGAACACCCAAAAGTAGCAGTGACAAAACTTGAACTCAGGTTTCCCAACTACAAGACAAAAGCTCTTCCTACTACCCCACTGTATTGCAGCTATAAGAGCAGAAACCAAGTTACTATATGTTATAAAATCCTCCGGCTCTCAGTTTAGCACCATTCTACTTCCTGGCAGTACTCTGTAAGTGTTGGCTCTTACTA